ACGATTCCCTGGGAGCGAGCGGTCCAGCCGACTTCGCGCTCCTTTCTCGCTTCCTTCCTTCGTTTACCCGTTGATTTTTCCCTCCACCCGCGCGCCCTAGTTTAACTGCGAGACGGACCCGGCGTGCGTCATCGAGACCAATCCGTTCGCCGTTCGACGTCCCATCCTCTTCGACCGATGGCAGACGCGTCGCTGACGCTTTCGGCTCTTCGTTCCCTGCACGGCGTTTCGCGCGTCGACTGCCTCTTATCGCTTCGCCTCGGCTTTCCCGGGCTTTCTTACAGCGGTCGAGGAACAATGCGACGAGACGAGGTGAAGTCGACTGGACACGTGTTCTTTCCTTTGATCGCGGGACGCATGGCTTCGTTTCGGGACGTTCCCGGCGGCAGCTCCGCGCTGTAGTCCTCGAAGGGTCGAGAGCTGATGATCCGGTCGATGATTCTGTGGAAACGAGAGATTGCGTGAAGCGCTGCGTCGAGGGTTCGACCTCTTGCCTTGTAATACTCGGTGGAAACCGCGGCGCAGGTTTCCAGTTTTCCAAACTTCGATTTAATGTTACTCGGTTACGTTCGGTTTTTGTTATGTCTAGATGGTACGCAGTGTTTGAAAAATTTGCTTCGGTTTCGCGAAAGCGACACCTCGAGAATGATTGAAACTGTAAACCTGAGGTACCTTTTTTGAGAAATTTCTGTTCAGAACGAACAACGATATTTCCACTTGAACTTGGATGTTTTCAATCGGATACCGTTACACGGCGGAGCTTTGCTATGACGGACACGGAGGATACGAATGTTTCGAATTTTTGTTACGCGCGTGTGTATACGTGTATATATAAAAATAGAAAAACACGATCAAACAGGAACAAGGAATATAGAAACCGATCTGCGTGTACAACGTACGAAACTTCTGAGTGGATGAAATTGGGACGAGAATGAAAAACATTGTTCCGTAGTATCGTGTGACCACGTTGTCCCGGATCGAATATTTTAATATTGCGAGTGTACAAATGAAAAGCTCAAAAGAATCTATGAACATATCGAAAGAAGAAGCTTTCAACAAAATATCAGTAAAATACTCCAAGTAAAAGTAAAATTCAAATGATCGTGTTCCTCTCTCTATACTCTACATAAAATCATCAGTGCGTTCGACACCTGCAAAAGCAACATCCCTCAACCTTACACTCGAAAGGGTGACTCGCAATCGTCATTTAATTTCCTACAACGAAATTATAAAGTCCCGCATAGAATATTAATCTTCGTGTAATGACACGTGAAACATGAAAGTAAAATAGTTCCTCAATTTACGCGTGTTCCGTTAATTACTTTCAAACAGTGTCGTTCACATCTGATCGGGAAACGTCGAACGTATCCAGCGGAGATCTGCCGAGCGCGGAGGGTGAATTTTTTGTCAAACGACGGTGGAATTACTTGAAAGGAACCTCGTGTCGGATCTCGAACAGACGAGAAACAATTACAGGTCGCATTGTACTCGGAGAGAAACGGTTTAAGTGGTATTCCGTGTTTGGCGTCCTTCTTCCGCGAATGATTCCGAGGGGTAGGGAGGGAAGCGATTCACCCCGGGGCAAGCGTCGCCTCGCAGTCACCCGAAGATCGCTGCAGCCCCGGCCGACTGGAATCCGGCGAAAACTCGCGGAACGCGATTACTATTCGCGCTCTAATTAATTCGACAGCTCGAAAGTCGGATAACTTTTCGGCGCGGGGTCCGCGTTCGATGCACTTTGAACGACTGCCGCGTTAATTACGCTCGAAGCGAGTCGCCCGTTCGACCGGCATCGCGATTCTTTCCACGGTGCCCCGGGTGTAACGCTGAAAGACCCTGGAACCCATCCATTAGTCCCGAGCTGCATTGTCTTCACGGTGTGCGAGGGAATCTTGTTGCCGACCCGCGTCGATAAATATTCATTCTCCACTATAATATCTAACCAGCGAGATATTCGCTAGAAATTCGCCATTTCGAGGGTATTTTCGGATCGCCGAAGCTGAAAATCGTCGCTTTCCATGAAAACAGATCCGCTAAACAGTACTTTAGAATGAGAATACTCGCAGGGTATTCTAAGTTGATTTGGCGCGCCGTAAAAGTGCTTCCCCAGTTTCGCCGAAAGAACAAATCGTAAATGGGTCATACGTGGGTATATTTAGGGTGAAATCGATATTTAACTTCCAGACGACGGCGTCTGGACCCATTAGACTCGAAGCTGCGTCTCTGTTATGTAAAGCTCGGTTTTCGAAACGATAGTCTCAAAGACGATTATTAAATCGTGTCGCTCGAGACGATATTCCAGTTCAGCGTCCTCCGGCGAGCACCGTCCTCGACGCCGAACCGAATCAGCAGCCCGATCGCGACGGAGCAAAAACGAGAAGAAAAACGGCCGGCTCGAATCGTCGGTCCTCGAGGACTTCCCGTGATTCCTCCCGGAATAAGACTTTCGACTCGGGATCTCGACTCGAGGGGCAATCACCGCTTACACCTATACCCGGGGGAGGTGTCGAGAGGTGTCGGGGAGCCGCCTGGAACACCAGGAGCCGAGTCCGCCGAGAAATTCGTCGCGACCGAGGCTTTTCAAGCGACGGGTTATCGTCACCCTCCTAGCCAACCTTCGCGCCCCCCGACCTCCCTGTCCCGCGCCTCCTTTCGCCGCGTCTGAAAACCCTTTAGAGGATGGACGCTTAAAAGCCTCGGGTACGAAAATTGCCGGCCGACCTAAATAACGATCACCACTTCATTCATCGCGACGCGGAAAAACGGTGGGCAGCATCACGCAGCCGACGACGGTGTCGGCGACGTCCGGGTCGGGCTTTCCCGTCGCGGAGGAAATAATTAGCAGCGGCACCGACGTATCTGCCGAATACCGTTCCGTTATCGATAAGGACCGACGCGACACTTACATATTTGTAGAGATTTAACGATCAATTTAAAACGCTGCGACTATTCTTTATTAATGAACCTCGAATGATTGTACGAAACTGTCTTCTGCTGACTTTTTCCGCGTGTAAGTTGTTTCGCGATATTCTTGTTTTTCGATTCTCGATCGCTGTCTTTAGGTCAATCAACTGGTTGACACACTACATATATGTGGTCTAACGTTTGAAAATTTGAGTGCGTTCTAATAGTATGAAGTAGAAGAATAGTGTGGCAATACAGAAATGGAACATTACTTTTTTGTCAGACGCCCAGTGTTTGATGAATGCGACTGCGATCCGTTTACCGCAGTCCCGAACAACAGCTGGATCTTCCGGCGATCGTTCCCGCTGGATCAATGCTCGAACGTCCGCCTTTGAACCGACTCATTCCACTTCCGAGCGTTCGAAGGAAGGATCGACGGCGATCACCGCGGAGAACGACGCACGCCGCGCCGCGTTGACCGATTGCCCGACAAAACTGCCCACCCCCCTTTCATTAACCGTGATTGATCACAATTTTTAGGTTTCACCGAATACCTGTTCTCAGCGGGCTTATCGTGCCCTGTAATCTCTGGCTGGATTCGTCTCTGTGATGGATTCGGTTGCCTTTGAAATCGAATTCCCTTGTCCCGCGAATCGCTGGTGGCTTTTATATTAATTCACGTGCCCGTCGATGTTCTTTGTAAAAAGCGGGACAGTTGCTATCTACGATTGCGAGCTGCGAAGGTGAAATCAATCTGTCGAGACTGGGAATGTTCGCGTTCGTATCTGTTCGGAGTGTATTCGTTGTAAACGGTATTCATAAAGATAATATTATAAAACAATTTTCAACGAAAACATCGAGTTGCTAAAACATCCACCTAATCGAGTGACGTTAAGAAAGTTACCAATTCCCTCGCAAGCTTCCCACTCCGGAATCTGATTGTCCCAACGGTTACAAAACCGCCGAAACGTCGTCGGAAGATCTAACGCGCGCTAGATCCCTGCGCTTCCGCGGGTCGCGTGAGAAAGTCGCTTTGAAGCGAAGCTTCTCGGAACGGGAAGAGGAACACAGAGGGCGGAGGAGGGGGAGAGAGGCGTCTTTAATTACAAGTGCGCGATAGTTCGTGTCTGACCTAGAGATTTAGATAAACCAAGGTTATCTCCGTGGCGGGCCAGCAAGGATCGGCCGCGTGTGTGCGCGCCCGTAAGGGCAAAGGGCGATCGAACGTCTTGTCCTTGGCGGACCTTGCTGGCAGGCGATTCTTCCGGCGTCCGGGTACTTACCGTCCAGCCGGACGATGCGTTCCCGCTAGGACCACCTGAGTCTCGTCGCGAGCAGCAGTCTCAGCGGAACGATCATCTGGAACCACTTGGCGACCGCCTGCTCCTCCCCGCACGTGTTCCCGAGCGGGGGTGGACCCACCGGGCGACGGAAGTCGCGGAAAGATTGGCCTGGATCCCACCTTTGTTTACGCGCACCCGGAGCCGTTTAGGGGATCGGAGCTAGACGATCCGGCCAACGTGTTCCGTGGATCGTTGCGACGTGCGCCGCGAACTCGAGCTGGTCCCAGCCATCAGGACGATCCCACTGACTCGACCAGGATGGATTATACCCCAGATATTAGGCGTGGAGGGCCAGCGTACACGGGTCCGAGCGCGATAGATCGAGCCAACCGAACCGAGGAGGTCCGGTGCGCGTGTACCGTCTGCCGATCCACCGATCGATGCGATCCGGTTACCGAGACACGATCCGTCTTCCCTCTCAGTTCATCCCTCCCGCGGGTCGGTCCTCGACGCTTCCGAACGGACGATCGAGGGGGTTGTTTGGCAACATCGCGGTGAACGTGA